GGGAATTAGTGGGGAAAACACCTGGGAATTCCCAAAAAACAGCGGGGAGTCGGTGGGGAAAACACTCGGGAATTCCCAAAAAACAGCGGGGAGTCGGTGGGGAAAACACCCGGGAATTCCCAAAAAACAGCGGGAGTCACTGGGGAAAACAGCGGGAATGACCAGAGAAACTGCGGGAGTCGGTGGGGAAAACACCCGGGAAAACACCCGGGAATTCCCAAAAAACTGCGGGAATTAGTGGGGAAAACACTCAGGAATTCCCAGAAAACAGCGGGGAGTCGGTGGGGAAAACACCCGGGAATTCCCAGAGAAACAGCGGGAATTGCTGGGGAAAACACCCGGGAAAACACCCGGGAATTCCCAAAAAACTGCGGGAATTAGTGGGGAAAACACCTGGGAATTCCCAGAAAACGGCGGGAGTCGGTGGGGAAAACAGCGGGAATGACCAGAAAACTGCAGGAGTCGCTGGGGGAAACACCCGGGAATTCCCAGAGAAACAGTGGGAGTTGCTGGGGAAAACAGCGGGAATTCCCAGAGAACGGCGGGAGTCAGTGGGGAAAACACCCGGGAATTCCCAGAGAAACAGCGGGAATTAGTGGGGAAAACACCTGGGAATTCCCAAAAAACAGCGGGGAGTCGGCGGGGAAAACAGCGGGAATGACCAGAGAAACAGCGGGAATTTATGGGGAAAACACCCGGGAATTCCCAGAGAAACAGCGGGAGTCACTGGGGAGAACAGCGGGAATTCCCAGAGAAACAGCGGGAGTCAGTGGGGAAAACACCCGGGAATGACCAGAGAAACAGCGGGAATTGATGGGGAAAACACTCAGGAATTCCCAGAAAACAGCGGGAGTCAGTGGGGAAAACACCCGGGAATTCCCAAAAAACAGCGGGAATTAGTGGGGAAAACACTCAGGAATTCCTAGAAAACGGCGGGGAGTCGGTGGGGAAAACACCCGGGAATTCCCAGAGAAACAGCGGGAGTCGCTGGGGAAAACACCCGGGAAAACACCCGGGAATTCCCAAAAAACTGCGGGAATTAGTGGGGAAAACACCCGGGAATTCCCAGAAAACGGCGGGAGTCGGTGGGGAAAACAGCGGGAATGACCAGAAAACTGCGGGAATTAGTGGGGAAAACACCTGGGAATTCCCANAATCCACCCGAAAATGGGTCAAAATCCATCCCGAAATGGGTCAAAAATTCACCCCAAAATGGGTCAAAATCCACCCGAAAATGGGTCAAAATCCACCCGAAAATGGGTCAAAAATTCACCCCAAAATGGGTTAAAATCCACCCGAAAAATGGGTCAAAATCCATCCTGAAGTGGGTCAAAATCCACCCGAAAATTGGACAAAATCCACCCGAAAATGGGTCAAAATCCACCCGAAAATGGGTCAAAATCCATCCCGAAATGGGTCAAAAATTCACCCCAAAATGGGTCAAAATCCATCCTGAAATGGGTCAAAATCCACCCCGAAATGGGTCAAAATCCACCCGAAAATGGGTCAAAATCCATCCTGAAATGGGTCAAAATCCACCCGAAAATTGGACAAAATCCACCCGAAAATGGGTCAAAATCCACCCGAAAATGGGTCAAAATCCATCCTGAAATGGGTCAAAAATTCACCCCAAAATGGGTCAAAATCCACCAGAAAATTGGACAAAATCCACCTGAAAATGGGTCAAAATCCATCCCAAAATGGGTCAAAATCCATCCCAAAATGGGTTAAAATCCACCCGAAAATGGGTCAAAATCCATCCTGAAGTGGGTCAAAATACACCCGAAAATTGGACAAAATCCACCCGAAAATGGGTCAAAATCTATCCCGAAATGGGTAAAAAATCCATCCCAAAATGGGTTAAAATCCACCCCGAAATGGGTCAAAATCCATCCTGAAATGGGTCAAAATCCACCCCGAAAATGGGTCAAAATCCATCCTGAAATGCGTCAAAATCCACCCGAAAATGGGTTAAAATCCATCCCAAAATTGGACAAAATCCACCCGAAAATGGGTCAAAATCCATCCCAAAATGGGTCAAAATCCACCCCAAAATGGGTTAAAATCCACCCGAAAATGGGTCAAAATCCACCCCAAAATGGGTCAAAAATTCACCCTGAAACTGGTAAAAAAGGTGCCAGATTTTCCTGGGATAAATTGGTAAAAAAGGCACCAAATTTTCTTGGGATAAACTGAAAAAACAACCAAATTTTCCTGGGAAAAAGTGATAAAAACCCCAGTTTTTTGCCATTTTTTCACCCCAAATCCCATTTTTCATCCCAAATCCCGTTTCTTGCCCTGGCCGGTGCTGCGATGCCGCTGTGCCCACGCGGCGGCTGAGGCCGAGGGCTGCGCGTTCCATAAATTGGTAAAAAAGCTAAATTTTCCTGGGAAATACTGGTAAAAAAGGCACCAAGTTTTCTTGTAATAAATTGATAAAAAAGACAAATTTTCCTGGAATTAATTGGTAAAAAAAACCCCAAATTTTCCTGGGAAAAAGTGATAAAAACCCCAAATTTTCCTGGGAAAAAGGGATAAAACCCCCAAAATTTCCTGGGAAAAAGTGATAAAACCCCCAATTTTTTTGCCGTTTTTTGCCCCAAATCCCGTTTTTTCACCCCAAATTCCCGTTTTTCCCCCGGCAGGCTCCGCAATGCCGCTGTGCCGGCGCGGCGGCCGAGGCCGAGGGCTGCGCGTTCCATAAATTGGTAAAAAAGCCAAATATTCCCTGGAATAAATTAGTAAGAAAGGCACCAAATTTTCCGGGGATAAATTGGTAAAAAAGCCAAATTTTCCTGGGATAAATTGGTAAAAAAGGCACCAAATTTTCCTGGGAAAAAGTGGTAAAAACCCCAAATTTCCTGGGAAAAAGGGATAAAAACCCCCAATTTTTTGCCGTTTTTTGCCCCAAATCCCGTTTTTTCACCCCAAATTCCCGTTTTTCCCCGGCAGGCTCCGCGATGCCGCTGTGCCGGCGCGGCGCGGCGGCCGAGGCCGAGGGCTGCGCGTTCCCGGCCGGCGCGGGGCTGAAGGTGCTGCTGCACTGGAGCGGCGCCGAGCAGCCGCAGCGCTGCCGCGTCTTCGGCGGCGGCAGCCGCAGCGCCGAGGAGATCTGCATCGAGCTGGCCCGCGGCCTCGGTGAGCAGGCGCCGGAATTCCCAAAAAACGGCGGGAGTCGGCGGGGAAAACAGCGGGAATGACCAGAGAAACAGTGGGAGTCAGTGGGGAAAACACCCGGGAAAACACCCGAGAATTCCCAAAAAACAGCGTGAATTATTGGGGAAAACACCCGGGAATTCCCAGAGAAACAGCGGGAATTAGTGGGGAAAACACCCGGGAATTCCCAGAAAACAGCGGGGAGTCGGTGGGGAAAACATCCGGGAATTCCCAGAGAAACAGCGGGAGTTGCTGGGGAAAACACCCGGGAATTCCCAGAGAAACAGCGGGAATTAGTGGGGAAAACACCCGGGAATTCCCAGAGAAACAGCGGGAATTAGTGGGGAAAACACCCGGGAATTCCCAGAAAACTGTGGGAGTCGGTGGGGAAAACACCTGGGAATTCCCAGAGAAACAGTGGGAGTTGCTGGGGAAAACAGCGGGAATTCCCAGAGAAACAGTGGAAGTTGCTGGGGAAAACAGCGGGAATTCCCAAAAAACTGCGGGAATTAGTGGGGAAAACACCCGGGAATTCCCAGAAAACGGCGGGAGTTGCTGGGGAAAACAGCGGGAATTCCCAGAGAACGGCGGGAGTCAGTGGGGAAAACACCCGGGAATTCCCAAAAAAATGCAGGAGTCGCTGGGGAAAACACCCGGGAATTCCCAGAGAAACAGTGGGAATTAGTGGGGAAAACACCCGGGAATTCCCAGAGAAACAGTGGGAATTAGTGGGGAAAACACCCGGGAATTCCCAGAAAACAGCGGGAATTGATGGGGAAAACACTCGGGAATTCCCAGAAAACTGTGGGAGTCGGTGGGGAAAACAGCGGGAATAACCAGAGAAACAGTGGGGAATTGATGGGGAAAACACCCGGGAAAAACACCCAGGAAAAGAGCGGGAATTCCCAAAAAAACAGCAGGAGTCGATGGGGAAAAACAGCAGGGAAAACACCCGGGAAAACACCAGGGACAACACCGGGAATTCCCAAAGAAATGGTGGGAATCGATGGGGAAAACTCCCGAGAAAACAGCGGGAATTCCCAAAGAAATAGCGGGAATCGATGGGGAAAACACCAGGGAAAACAGCAGGGAAAACAGCAGGAATTCCCAAAGAAAACACCAGGGAAAGCACCCAGGAAAACCGCAGGGAAAACACCAGGAATTCCCAAAGAAACATTGGGAATTGATGGGGAAAACACCAGGAATTCCCAAAGAAAACACCCAGGAACACACCAGGAATTGCCAGGGAAAACACTGGGAATTCCCAAGGAAAACACTGGGAATTGCCAGAGAAAGGAACAGCAGGAATTGCCAGGGAATGCAGCAGGAATTTCCAGGGAAAA